CCTCCTTTTTTTCCTCCCCCCCCCCGCCCCCACGTAGGAAATGATAGAAAGTGATTTACCCTCCATCATGTCTGGGCTCATTAGAGGTTCAGGACAAAGCCATCATCCTGCTCCACAAGAATACAGGTGAGGGTTTTAATCTTTTGCTAAAGTTGTAATAAACCACTGGAAAGCCAATTTCCTCTCCTATTGGTAAACGTTGAGGCTGTTAATGAACATAAGAGTCTCTTTGCCTTGCCCCGTTTTTCTTTCGTGAGCCCCCCTCCTCGCTCCCCCTGATTTCTCAGTATTAGAATCTTTCCCTTTGAATGGAAAAGGAAACTGGTAGATTTCTGGGGCTTTTTGTCAGCTGAGGCCAAGGAGGCTGCGGGCCGTCCTGGATGAATGTCCAGAAGCAAAGATAATGGCCAAGGCCCTTGGTTAATAGGTTAAGGGTTCCAATCCTGACAAGATGGGACGGTCCTGAGATTAGGTCATCTTGACTGTGGTGGCCAGGAGTGCCTTAGGCAAGCTTTAACTGGTTTACCAGATGAGCGTCTTATGGGGAAAGGCAGATCTAGCCAGAGTTCCCCATGCTTTTATCCTCACCTGATTAGACTACGGCAACATGGTCAATCTGGGGCTGCCCTTGAAGGGTGTTCAGAAACTGGAGCGGGTGGAAAATATGGCTGCCAGACCACTTTCCAACGCAGCCTGTATTGACAAAATGACTGGCTTCCCAAATTCATACACTGCCTTCCTGCCAAAAAAGGGTAACACACCAGCTTAGCACAAACTGTATTGATTGCAAGGCTTTTTTTCCCCCTGAGCCCAAATCAAGGGGGTGGTCCGAATAACTAAGTGTCAGGATATATGAAAGACCACCACCCCCCTCCTTAATGAATAAGCATCTTGTCTGGAGACCCTTCTTTCTACTGGAACCCCAAGAGAAGATGAACTGATGGGAACACAAGGCAGGGCCCTTCTCTTGGGTGGGCACCCGATTCCTGAATCCTCTCCCTCCTCTGTAAGGTTTAAGCTCACACTGTATTGAGTTTTAAGATAAAGCATTAACTTTTTTAAAAATTTTGGTTCTTCGCGGCCATTGAGTGACTTTAAACTGGTTGGTTTCCCCCTCTCTCTTTCTTAAAATACTGTGTTTTCCTCCTGTTCTAAATGATATCTTTGCGAGGTTGTTTTAAAATTCGTTTTTTAACATTTCAAAAGTCACATACCTTGAGGATCTTCCTGGGGCTGAAAAGCAAGTTGGAAAAGAAACTATATCAATGAAGGGATAAAAATGTGGCTAATTGCAATAGATAAGAGCCCTTCTCCGTTAACTTTCTCTCTCTGTGTATAAATATATATATTTAAAAAGCCGCCCATCTCATCTGGTGTGAACAAATTCCACGAGACAAAGACCTCCTTTTCCTTTTGTCTGTCCAGGATCTACAGCCACAGAGCTTAACGGACTTGACTCCAAATTCTATTCTTAGGAACAATGTTCTCCCTGGGAATTGGGGGGGCTGAAAATGTGAGACCGCTTGATTAGCAAGGATCATCTTCCTCCTGGCCCTGAGCTTCTCGGTTTCCTTTGGGCTTAGCTACCATCCACAGGGAGGGAGAGATTTTCCCGGTAACCCTCTATTACGGACGTGCAAGGAGATGTACGTATCTCCTGTGCAAAGAGAGATCCAGAGATGGTTCTCGAGCTTGGAAACGTTCGGCTTTTCTGGGCTAAAACTGACAAGAGTCCCGTACCAGCCGGGCAGCCCCTGTCCCATAAAAGTAACTTTCAACACTGCTAAATTCTCATCGACGGACCAGCGGGGCTGCTTCTTGGGTGCACAGAACGGAGACGCCTCCTTTCTCCGTCGGGTTCAAACCTTGGGGGGTTTCACAACACGCAGGCTACAGCCTGTGGCAGGCGGGGGGGGGAAGAACCCCACCACTCTTGCCGGTTCTTAAGGTCTCACTGTGCCGGGATGGGGGGGGTAAGGAAGTTTTGTGGGAGCAGCAAACTTTTAAAAAATAAAAATAAAATCATCCCCATTAAACGCCAGCAGTGGCTGGGAAATGCGCTATGGCACCCGAGGGCTTCTGTGGTTGCCGAGCAGAGGGGAGACAGGAGGGCTTAGGATCGTGTGGGTCCAGAACCCTTCCTTGGCACCCTCTTCTCTCCCCCCCCATGGCTGCCACAGCCCCACAACAGAGGGCCGAGGTGGGTGCAGGTTCCCACGGCTGCAGGCAAGCGGCCGCCAGAAACAGAGGGAGGCCCTTTCTCCAGACAGAGAGACTTATTCTCCAGGAATCTAAAGACCCCCGAGATCGGCTTCCAGGGATTGTAGGATTTCTGTCTGAATTCCTGTTCTGAATTTATTGTTCTTCCTAAAAGTCCCAACAGTTTCTAAAACATGAATGCCCCCACGCCCCTTTCAAGAGGAGGTCCAGCAACCCCCTATACACAGCCTTAAAGTAATTTATGCAGATGCTCTTTTATAACCGTGTTGTTGTTGTTGTTTTTGTTAAATCCTTTGGATCAAGGAATTGGCACGCTTCGGGTTCTGTCTTACCTTTTTCGCAGGGCATGCCAGGCAGTTTATTCATAGGGTAATCTTGGAAAAGAAAAAACCCAAAGAAAACTTATTTGTGAGGAGTGGGTGACCGTCAAACTCTGCTCCCACCCACCCGGACGGGAGGGCATCTCCACCCTTCCTGGGGCAGGTATTCTTCCCCCCTCTTCCTCTCCCCCCCCAGACCCTTTCCATTCCCACTGCATAAACTGCTGTTGTTGGCACTTCAACAAGTGATTTGTGTGGAGCTGCAATGAGAAAAAGGGTCTGCAGAAGGTCTTAAGTCTTCCCCTTTAACGTGGGTGAGTTGCTCCGATATGGATCCCTAATATTGGCAAAGAACGGGGAGCCATGGGGGTGGCCCTGGCAGAACGCCTGGTTAAATATGGATGGGCCTGGAAAGAACGGCGTGGCGTTTCAGAGAGCAGGTGTGTGTGTGTGTGCGCGTGTGTGTCTCCTTCTTAATGTGCAGGAAAGGAATATCATCACTCTGTGTCATAGGTCCTTCTTGTGATTGAAATGGGACGTACTTTTAAATAACTACTTTGAGTATTACACCCTGATTTCTATGTAGAACTGTGGGTAGAGTTGAAAGTTGTCTCCATTCAGACGTAAATGTGTATTTTCCCCCTAAGTCTTCGGGGTGTGTGTCTATCTATCTATCTATCTATCTATCTATCTATCTATCTATCTATCTATCTATCTATCGCCGATTTGCAGATATGCTTTTCTGGTTGAGATTTAAATCAGAATGACCTCATGGAAAAGCAGCAAAAAACCTGTATTTTTTTTAAAAAAATATCTAGACTGTACCCCCAAAGCGTACGGTAGCATTTGTTCCCATCCATGAGAAAACACTTTGGATTATGTAAAAGAAAATCTCTCAGACTGACTGATTTTAAGAAGAGAATAGACCTGTCAGTTTCTATCAGGTCTGTTTACTCTCTTGCTGTCACCATGCCCCGAGACTGGATCCTACGGCCCCGGGTTCGCCATGGGGGGGCCTGCAGGCTCTACAGAATGGGAAGTGGCCCCCAATTAGCAAGTGGGGGGGTGTGCTGGGCTAGGGCTGAGAATACCCTCTCTGTCTCTCCTGGGAAATGTTTCTATTGGGCACCGGGATTTGGAAGAGACCGGATTTCCAAGCTAGAAGGAAGGGGTGGGTGGGAAGGAACTTTAAAAAGCCGAAAGGGAGAAAGGCACAGATCTGAAAGGCGGGTCCAGGAGGTTTCGCCGCTGCAATCCCATCAGCGGGGCTGACAAAAACACAAAGATTTGGGGGCATCGTAAAAGGCTGACATGTTTTACGCATCTTGGTGATGCCGGCTCACTTGATGAAAGATTCAGATGCTCAAAGCATCAAACGCTTAATCTCAGGGTAACCCAGCACTTCCTTGCTCCGAAGGCTGTGCAAACTTTTAATTTCACCAGGAAATGGATTTTTCATCCTGCCCCTCTCGTCCCAGATCTCTGCCGCATCCAGAGGCTGGCTGTCGCCTGCGGTGCTGCTGAGGCTGCACAGAGCCGATAGACAACCTGGAACGCCCTGCGCTTGGGCTTTGCGCCTGCCAGGAAGAGCCGGCAGGAGATATTCTGTAGACATATCTGAAAGGACTTGGAGTTCAGTCTCAGTCCCAGATCTCCCTCGGCCGGGCGGGGAAGTTAGAAGGCCAGGGTGGACCCAGACGAAAGACCTGAGCGGATGATGCCCCCAGGCGCACGCTCGTGCACAGAACCGGCTTCGAATTAGTCCTCCTTTAGGGCCGGCCTGTAAAGTGAGGACATGGAGAGGTCTTGAAAGAAAAAGAGGTCCGGAGAAGGATTTTGTAATGCAGCAACTGCTGCAGAGGTCTCTGGCTGCCGAGCCAGAAGGTGGGAGTTCGGTTCCCCTTCTTGGCAGGGGCTGGACTCCGTGATGCAGAGGGACCCCCTTCCAGCTCTGACACTCTAGGATGACGATTAAAGTTCCCCGGACAGACAGGGTTAGCCTACCAGAAGAGAACGGGTGACTTGTTTCCTCTCTGCGGCAAGGAAGTCCACTCGAGGCCTTGCAGCACCCGAGAAACTAAACTGTTTTATTTGGTGCCATGTTTTATGGCCCAGAGGGTACCAACAGAGCATAAGCAGCCCCCGAGGGGACAAAAACCAGGGTTTTTAGCCGAGCACCCTCTCCCTGAAGGTGCTGCTAAGCGTCGGGGCAGAGGGATCGGGCCCCGTGTCTGACACTCGGTCCCCACCGACAGGCCAACCGACCGAGGGGCGAGCGTGAGCAGGGGAGCTTTGACCCTTCCCGCCCACCTGACCCCATTCATTTGTCCTGGGGTTGGGGTTTGGGGGGGGCAGGGGCGGCGGAGTGGCTTGCCAGAGCGCCAGATGGCATGGATGGTGTGTGTCTCGTGTCATTCAGCCAGATTAATGGGAAGTTTGGGGAAATAAAAGGCGGAGAGAAAAGAAGAGGGAAGAAATTACAATTAAGCAGGAATCCCCAGAACAAAGGGCGGCCACGTGCCACTGGCCAACAGTCGCTCCCCGAACACAATGGCTTATCGGCTGACAATGCGCGCAGGCCAACTGCTGCCAACGGCCCCGGGCGCTCCTCCCTGGGTTTTCAACCACCGCCCAAGGCTCCAGGTTGACTTACGGTCCCGCCAATGGCCGAGCCGGGAAGGGGCTCCGCTGACGTCCCTTCCTGCCAGGCCGGGCGCTCCAGTGGCCCTTCCGAAGGCTCAGAGAGACAAGGGGAGAGTGGCCGCCCCCGTGGCAGGGCTCAGGGTGGCACCCTCTGCAGAGTGAAGCCACTCGTGAATCCAAGAGCTGCCGGGCTAGGCGAGAGGTCCCCGAGGCTTTACCTCCCTAACCGTTTGTTAGAATGCGGATGCTTCTTATTTATTTCTCGTTAAAAAAGGGCCCAAGGCAGGTTACATCGTTAAAATACAGCAAAGCCTACCATGGTGGGTACACAAGTACAAAAAAACCCCCAATCCAATCCATTTGAAAACACAAGCAATACAAAACACATTCAAGTAGAAGTACTAAGAAGGATCAAACAAGGATCATATTAAAAAACAAGCAACACCTAAAATGCATTGAAAGAGGTAATGCAGAACTACCCATCTGTAAAATCTGATCAGGCCGCCAGTCACAGAGGGGAAGCTTACCTGAAGGGGAAGGTCTTATTTGCCTGCTTGTGGAAGGACAGCAAAGATGGGGCCCGGCTGGCCTCCAGTGGGAGGGAGTTCCAGAGTCTCTGGGAGCAGCAGCAGCAGCAGAGAAAGGCCCTCTCCCGTGTTCCCAACAATCGCACCTGTGAGGGTGTGCAGTCCGGTTGAAAACCTAAAACAAAACAAAACTTTTCCTTTGAACACTTTTTAAACATGTAAATTATAAATGTTTAAAAGCTCTGTTGGTCGTCCAGGTTTCGTAAATGCTTTCCCCCCCGTGTTATGGAAAGGTTTTCTGTCTTTCAACTCAAGTAATGGACTTAAGTTGAAATTGTTTACTTGGGAATAAATTGACACCAAGTTTTTTACAAAGTGGAACCGGTTCCACTTGCCTAGCCAGAGCAGCAGCTTGCACTAGAACTCAAAACCAGAGTGTGACAAAAGTTACTTTTTTAAAAACATCCCTTTGCAAAATTCCTCTTGCCCAGTTTGCACCCTGTCTTACTCCAGCTGAACGTACTCCAGCTGGTTTGGGGATGCAGGGAACAGATGCTCAAAAACTTTAAAAGACTGTTGCAAACGAGCGTGATCTGAGAAGTCTGCTTTTTAAAAGGTGCACCTTCTTTTCTCTCCAGGCTTCTAGCTACCGACCCTTCGCAGCTGAACGAAGAGGACCTCCCCGGGGACTTACAGTCCCTGTCGTGGCTGACGTCCGTGGATGTCCCTCGCTTGCAGCAGATGGCCACCGAAAGGATGGATTTCGGCCTTAGTGCCCAGACTTCTCTGCTGCAACAGAGCGGTAGGTATGATTCATCGGGATGGGAGGAAAGATCATTTCTGATATGGGTTTTCCAGTTGGCCACCAGGGGGCAAGGTGAGCACACAGGCTCCCCTGGCGAGCATGATTGCTCAGCCCTCCAAGTCTACTGTAATCACATCTCCGGAAAACTCTAGGTCAGGGGTTCCCCACCTGGGGTCTGGGAGTTGTAGTCCAAGAAAACCTGGGGACTCCAGGAGGGCAACCACTGACCTAGAGTTTTCCGGAGATGTGATTACAGTAGACTTGGAGGGCTGAGCAATCATGCTCGCCAGGGGAGCCTGTGTGCTCACCTTGCCCCCTGGTGGCCAATCGGAAAACAAAGCCACTTTAGGTGCAAACGACAGCAGAGGTGAAAAGGTCCTGCTGTGACAAATCAAGTGTTTTTTTCCCCCGCCATTATGAAAGCGATCATGCAAGTTTGGCCCTTAGGCACGTCCACCCGTCATGCAACAGGGTCCTTTCAGGAGAAAGGCAGGATATAAATATTTAAAATAAAGAATCAATAACTAAACACCGTCTTCTATGCCTCTGTGTGTCCTTGTTTGTGTGTCCGCCAGGTTCCAATGCAGGGACTCTGCAGGCCCCGGGGGCTCCTGGGACCATGATTCAAATCCAAGCCAGCCTGCCTCAAAGCCTCCTAGGATTCAACACCATTTCCTCCCACGGCGCAAATGTAAGGATGTGCTTCCCTCCCCCTTCTTTTCCAAAAGGGGAAAAAACAACAGCGGTCGTGTGCAACTGATGCTTCTTTTTCCCTCTCCCTTGGGCTCCAGATCGGCCAGTACTTGGGTGGGGGGCAGCCGTCGCCCGGCCTCCAACCATCGCCGACCCCTCTCTTCCCTCCTCCACCTCGCCACGCGCAGCAAGTCTTCGCCATTGCCCACAACACGCAACAACAGGTATAACCCTCTGCTTCATCCTTTGGCGACTGCCAACCTGACAAGGACAGGGGTCTTAATATAGGCACTGTGCCTTTAAAAAAGCTCTTCCTAAATCTCTAATTACTCTCTTAACGGATACGCTTTTTAATTTAATTGTGCTTAGCACTTATAGTTTTAGAAGAGGTAGCCTTGATTTTGCCTGATAAATAATTATGCTTTCAATGAATGTCTGGAACAAACCAACGAATTCTAGAGGAAAATTGAGACTACACTCTCTCTAGCTTCCTGCACTTTAATCTTTACTTAATTAAATTACATTGTAAGCTACCATGGGTCCCGGTGGTTAGAAAGATTGGATACCAACCAACCCATCAAACTTAAGATATTCTGATATTCTTTGCCAAAATAAGAAAGCTTTGAAGAGCTGTAGAATGCATGTTTTCTAACGTTAAATAAAACTTGCAGCCGGAGACCAGCCTGGGTTGGACCCAGAGGTTTTATTCATTCCTTCCTCCGCTCCCTGGGAGGCAAACGTGGGCCTCATTTCCAAGTCTGATGATGCTTGGGTGAAATCGCGTGCCTGTAGGGAGAACCGCCCAGCGGCACCCGTTCTGCCTTCCCCTTGGCACGTGACATGAATCTTGTGTTTGCTCTGCAGTGCTCCCCAGCATCCATCTACGGGGCCTCTTATGGGTCCCAGGCTCCCTACTCACAGCAACCCCGCCTCGCTCCCCACGGGGCTCAGGACCTCCATGTCAAACACTACCCCAAGCCAATCTACTCCTACAGGTGAGCCGAAACACGGGGATTTGGGGTCAGAGGTTACAGTTTTTGTGGTTTTAAAAGGAAGGCGACTCCTGAACGTCACAGAGATGCGTTTTCCCTCTTATCAAGGGAGGCAGCCATTATATCCGCAGCTCCCTGTTGCAACTGGAGCGGAACAGTTTCGTCAGCCTTTATTTTCCCATCCGTAAAATGGCCCCGTTAATGAGATACAGGATTGTAGAACGCTTTGGCACAGCAAAAATGAAGAACCCTCTTTTTAAAACCGGGACGTGTGCGCCTGGAGCCGTTGGCTGTAATGGCGGGGGGAGGAGGCGTTTATGACTAGAATTAGTTCCAGGGTTAGCACTTATTCTCAATCAGCCTTGCCAAGGAGGAATCTTTGGCATCCAAATAATTTTGCTTTTTTAAAAAAATGACACTCACCTTTATTTCTCACAGCTGCCTGATTGCCATGGCGTTGAAGAACAGCAAAACGGGCAGCCTCCCCGTCAGTGAGATCTACAACTTCATGAAGGAGCACTTTCCTTACTTCAAGGTGAGGAAATCTTGGCCACAAGCATCCCGCCGGGAGCCCTTTGGCGAGCCTCTCCTCTCCCGAGGCATACGACGCCATGCCACGCGCCTAACAACATGTTACTGTTTGTATTTTGGAGAAAACACCATCGTAAATCATAATGAACAGCAGCCACAAACACTTTTTGATTTACCCTCGTCCACTTGAGTGCAAAAGGGTTTGATTTTTTTTTTGAGGATCAGATCCTAGAATCATGGAGTTGGATGGGGTCTCCTTGAAGGAGACCCCCCCCTTGCTCAGGGCAGGAATCCAGATCCAAGCAAATCGGACAGAGGGTGGTCCTGTTTTTCTCTTGAACACCTCCAGCGATGGAGTGCAAGACAACTCCCGTGGTCACAGGCTCCCTTGTTGTACTGCTCTAACAGTTAGGAAGTTTTTCCTGCTTTTCAGTTGAAATCTAGCCTCCATATACCGTATTTTTCGCACCATAAGACACACTTTTTTCCCACAAAACAGGGGGGTGGAAAGTCTGTGCATCTTATGGAGCGAAGAAAACAGATTATATTTCCCTGTTTTCTTCCCCTAAAAAATTGGTGCGTCTTATGAAGCGAAAAATACGGGTAGTTTGCTTTCCAGTCATCTGTTGTAAGCCTTGTTTTTCTTGTGAATCACGGGATGGTGTTTTGCTATTTTGCCTCGTAATTCTCCGTAGACCTTAATAGGTGGTGCGCATGCATCCACGCTGAACTCAAAAGTCTTGAAGTCTTCCCTCTCTCTCTCTCTTGTCCCGAACGTCTCTGCCATGCTCTCCTTCTGCCCCCTTCCGCCCGCAGACCGCCCCGGACGGCTGGAAGAATTCGGTCCGCCACAACCTGTCCCTGAACAAATGCTTCGAGAAGGTGGAGAACAAGATGAGCGGCACCTCCCGCAAGGGCTGCCTCTGGGCGCTGAACCCTGCCAAAGTGGACAAGATGGAGGAAGAGATGCAGAAATGGAAGAGGAAAGACCTTCCTGCCATCCACCGCAGCATGGCCCATCCAGGTGAGCCGGGGTCCTCCTGGGACATCTCTCCCTGCAGAGAAGCGGCTGGATCCGCTTACAGCATCCAATCATGTGCGGAGGAGGAGGTGAACTCAGAAACCCCCATCTCCTTCTCCACTGTGGTCTCTCTTCTCAGAATACCTCCATAGTTTCCCCAAGATTATGCTCCACCCCATTTTATTGGGCTAGTTCCTTCCATTTCCCCTCCAAAAAGCTCCAGGCGATGTCCAAGATTTCACTCCATTTTAATTCATCTATTCATTTAAGAGTTCTTCGCTCCTTCTCGAAGCAGAGCCTCTTTACCCCCACCCCTGCAAGGTGGGCCAGTGAGAGCGAACCTGCCTGGCCGGTCTTTGCCTCCAAATCGGCTCCCACAGCCAAGGGAGAGATTTGAATGCGGAATAAAGCTCGGCTTGGCTTCTCCTTTTGCAGTCCGCGGGGGGAATTGGGTTCGGTCTTGGCAAACGGCCCTTTTTCCCTTACAGAGGAACTGGACAAGCTCATCACCGACCGGCCAGAGAACTGCAGGAGGCTGAGCAAGCCGGCAGAGGCCGACGGATCCGCGCTGAGCCACGCGGCCACCGCTCAGGGTCGCCTTCCACCCCTGCAGCCCCCGGCCGTCCTGACGCTCTCCCTCCCGCTGCACCGCCAGCTCCAGGCGCAGGCCGGCATGGCCCCCGATTCGCCGGCTCCCGCCCAGACCCCCCCTCTCCACCCCTTGCAAGGGGTGAACCACAGCCCCCTCCCTCAGCACCCCATGAACCGGGGCCCGGATTTCTTCGGAGCGATGATGACGGACATGAGCACGGAGGTCGACGCCCTTGACCCCAGCATCATGGACTTTGCTCTGCAAGGTAAAAAATAAAACAGGAGGAAGGCAGCCAAGCCAGGCCTTGGAAAGGTGGAGTAGGGGCAGGATTCCTGATGGGGAATCTAGAAGCACGTCTAGAATTGGGGACCGGGAGGGGGAGGGGAGAATAGTCCAGTCCATGAAAGTATGACTTTCCAAGTTTACATGAGGTTTTCCTCTGGGGGAATCCTTCAGGTCCGCAATTTATATTGTTTGTGGTTTCCTTAATCCAGGCATGCTGTCAATCCCAGCATCTCAAGGGTGAGTCTAGCAAATGATGCATCTGGAGATTAGCACAGCAAAATGGTTATAAATGCTGCGTCATCCCTTGGTTTTTACCTGCACAGATAAAATAAACAGACAGGGCCGGGTTCGAAGCTTCGGGTATCAATATGGTTTTGGAATAGCTTTCCTGTAGGGCAGAGGCGAAAGTTATGGCTTTTAGGGCCACGCCCCCACCTTGAGAGAAAAGTACCTATTGAGACCACATTTTCTCTCCAGGCAAACAACTCCTTCAAACGTACGTGTTTGAGACGACCGGTTATAAAAGCAAAAGCAAACTAATGCTCAAAATAGGTAGATTTATCCCGCTGTGTTCCTTCTGACACAGACAAATCTTTTACCTCTCGAGGGGCCTCTGTTTCTGTTGATGTGTTAACTGTACCGTCTCGTACGGCCCCTTTGAGCAACCTGTGGAGCCCTTCCGAAGCATTGGGACTCCGTCCCCCATGGTGCTTCACCCTTCCTAGGCTAAACCCCGGCAGGTGGGAGTTGGGGGCCCACACCTTCCTTTCCCCACCTTGATGCAGAGTCGCCTTTGCTGAGCACAGGATGAGTTGGCCTTTCCCGCAGGCCCTTTATTTTAAGATACGGAGGCCGTTTTGCTGAGAGTCCTCAAGGCTGTTCTCCTTGTGTTCTCCTAAAGGTAACATTTGGGAAGAGATGAAAGACGAGAGCTTCAGCCTCGAAACCTTGGGCGCCTTCAGCAGCTCCCCGCTGGCCCTGTCCGACTGCGACCTCACTCCGTCCGGCCTCACCCCCGTCTCCAGCGGTGGCGACCACGGGTTTCCGGACGTCCAAGTGACCGGCCTCTATACGACCTACGCCGCCCTGGACGCCGTCTCCTCCGCGCAGTACAGGAGCTCACAAGGCAACAAGCCCATCGCCCTCTTGTGAAGGGCGCCTCCGGGCGGCTTCCCGGGACTTCAGCCTCGTCCTCTGCTGCGGCCCGCCCAACGACAGGGGCGGCTGCTACTCTTTGGTTGCCATGGAGCACCGAGAACGACCACAGTCTCTCATCTGGACATCCCTGTCTTCCAGCTCCTTCACCATCAAGCTGGAAAGTTGGGTAAGATGCTATTTTGCTCTTCAGGGCGCTCAGCGAGAAAGCCCCTGTAAGTGACCTACCCAACAGAGAACTATTTTATGGTGGGGGGGCACAATTTCTAATTCACCCGACACAAGAGGAAAACTTTGGCACATACCTGACTTCACTACCAAGCGTCCCCAAACGGGCTCCCTCCTCCGAGCCTTCATCAGTGGTCCCCGTCTATTCCTCCCTGGTCCTCCCGGCCACTGACTTGCTACTGGAGGATCGCGAGCTTGTTTGCCCGGCTGCTTCCCATATGCAAGGCACTGTCCCTCTGGCAGTGGGTTCGAGGCATTGTTGACGCGTGGGAGGGGGCAGCCTGTGTGCCCCCTGAACTCTGGGAGAACACGGGAACCCCCGAACAGGAAGAGGATCAGGGCCGTTCGGCACAGGACGTCTTCTCTTTCACGGTTTCTACTCTAAATAGAATTAAGGGGAAGAGACAGGGATGGTGGGCAACACAGAAAAGTCAAAAGGGACGGAACAGTCACCAATCAACACCCGGCCAGGTCAAACCCAGAGCCTCCGGCTCCCCCACCCTTGACTACAGCTTCTTGGCTCTTTTTTAAGATGGTAGGCATGACGGTTATCATCCACACCAGCCAGAACCATGGCTGGCACAGCCGTGGGATGGAGGGGGTGGTGTCTCTGCGCTTCAGGCGCAGGAACCTGATACCCCTTCGACACACACACACACAGAGATCTGGGTGCTCTGGCAAGACGGAAGACAGTCTGGATGGTCCCGGTGAGACCAGGTTGTGTCAGGCGCAGGAACCCGATACCCCTCGACACACACACACACAACAGAGATCTGGGCGCTCTGGCAAGATGGAATAAAGTCTGGATGGTCCCGGTGAGACCAGGTTGAGAGGAGCAGATTTTTGCTTTTGTGGGTTACCGCCCGCACCTCCTCGTACGGGGGGTGCGCTATGCAATCAGAGGGCCGGTACGTCCTGCACCCGAGACGCTCCTGTTGTTCTTCCTGCTGGGCCAGAACAGCCCCACGGAAAGGGACCTCCTGCGTGTGTGGGGGGGTGTTTCTTCCCAACCCACTCCCTCTCGGCTGGGCATCGCGTCTCCGTCCTTTCCAATTGTTCCAGATGGCTTCATCCCACCACTTCCTTTACTCAAGTTTTGACACCCTGGCCAGTCTCTCGCTATGGGTGTGGGGTGTGTTTCTGCCTAACCCACTCCCTCTCAGCTAGGCATCACGTCTGTCCTTTCCAATTGTTCCAGCCAGCTTCATCCCACCACTTCCTTTACTGAAGTTTTGACACCCTGGCCAGTCTCTCGCTTTCCTTTCCCTCCTGCTCTCACCTGCAGTGATAGTTTTTTCAGGTGAGCGCCTCTGTGGCTCACCCGCTTTCCCCTTTCCTGGCGTCCTCCACCCTCTGCCCAGCCTTCCCCTCTGGCTCTTTCGCCTCAGATGCCTCCTCACCCTGCTGCACCCTTCTCTCTTCTCTTGGTGAGCAGGGGGCTCTCCCATCCCTGGGCGCTTCTCCTGGGACCTTGCAGGAGGTTTCCCCCCCCACAGGGAAATGGACCGGTTCCGGTCACTCACATACGTTGGAGGGCCAAGGATGACTCCCCCAGGCGAGGGACGAACACGGCAGGCTGTTGAAAAGACCTTTTAGGCCCTGGGCTACAGGCTGCAAAGCTAATCGGAAGGATCTTTTCTTAATCAGAGACGAAGGAGGCCTGTATTCCATTGACGGATAATGTACAAAATGAAGAACTTTACACTGAGATACGTTAGGATCGCAAGGCTTATTTTAAACTTTTTTAATCAAGGGGAAACCCAATTTAGGATCGATCCTCTAGGCTCGTGTAGAATGTTTTAACTCCTTGTGCTAGGCAGTATTAGTTTGTAAATCTTATTTATAATTTATTTTCCACGAGGGCGAAAAAAGGTATTGTATATTTTTAGCACTGACGTTTGTAAGACACTGCAGTATCTTTTTAAAACTTAATTTAAGGATTCGAAACCACTACAAAATGCTCAGCATCACTATTACATGGGGGGGTGGGGACCTTTCTTAACACCTGAACTTTTTCTTTTTAAAAAAGCACTTTGGATACTTAAGAGATAACATGACCCGTGAAGAGACCAAATATGTTTGTAACTGGTAAGTTTTGTGTTGTTGTTTTTTTAAAAACAACTGACACAAAGGGTCTCTTTTTGCCCTTCAATCTCATCCAAGTTCACTTGGAAATACGCAACAGTGTCAAGGACACTCCCAAGTCAGAGCGCCTAGGAAGGTAACCTTAGTTGACACTAACCTTAATAACAACAACAACAACAAAATCATCATCACCAGGAGGAGTAACTGCAAAGTGAATTTAAGGTTTTAAAATGTACTATTTAGTATTAAGGATATTGGTGCCGCTGTAACCTTGAGATAATATTTATTTTTGTAATAATGTTTTACCAAGATATTTTTACTGGATATTTTTTACATAGATCTATTTTCCCCCCTCATTTGAGATATATATATTTTTCACACAATGGTACCAACGGGGGAAGAAAACATTTGTTCTGCCTTATGCCTACTGATGGGTGGGGTCGCCTCTGGTGCTTACACACTTGGTTATCATTCAAAGGCTATGATATTGTGGTGGATGCTTCAGGATAACAGCTTCATGCAGAGCGTTTCCCAAGTGGATTGGGCCCCTTCCCCCTTTTGGCTCTTTTTGGGCATCTCTTGTTTCAGACACTGCGGTTCTGCCGTTATGAGCAAGAATCACAGTTCAGGAAGGTTAGCCATCCCTACAACCACTAAGCTCAATTTGAGATGAATCTAAATTGATGGGTGATCGTTTACACCATTCCAAAATCCAGAGCTTACTCCAAGAAAAATCTGCACTAGGTTGCAGACAGAATCCCCCTTTTTTTTTGGAAGGGGTTGTTCAACCAGGAATGTCATTTTTTCTACCTTGATTTAAAATGGCAGTATTTGGGGCTGAAACATTTTAGGGACAAGACCCGAATTGCCTGTATCAGAAACCTGTTTCACAGGAATGTCCCAGAAATGTCTTTGTCTGTTAAAATAAATAAGCATCACCAACAAATAAAACACCCTTGCAGCCCAAGACAAAACTCACCGCTGTGTCGTGTCGGCTCTAAAACTTGAATAATGACTGTGATTTATTTTATTTTTTTAAAAAAGTGTTGTTTAGTGGAACTGACACAGAGTCCGCTCTGATCCTCCGAGGTAACACTTACCCTCCACAAATTTGGATTTTGGTGGGAAAGGAGCATCGTGAAGATGGATGAAGGCAAGCAAAGACAAGCCAAGTGGGGAAGAAAACAGCACCTAAACAGCCTTTCCTGTCTTGTGGTGATGCTGAGGAGGGGTCTGAGAACTGTTTAACTGAGGAAGCCATGAAGCAGCAGCAGCAGCAGCTTTATCAGAAGGATTAAATACCACTGCCCAGAAGATTTAAAAGGTTTCTTTCCCTCGTGGGTCTCCTGACCTGCAAGAGCTGCTAAGAAAACAAGACAGGGGTCCTTGTTAACAAACACAGCTGGTTTATTTAGAATCGTGGTACTTGCTCGTGAAAGACGGTTTCTCCTCACTCTGACCACGTGCAAGCTGTTAACAGGAGAGGTGTGCAGATTCTGTGGTTCTGGGTGGCACTTCTGGGAAGTGTTGCCGAATCAACACAAATCTGCACACTTCTAGTGACCCGCTTCCTAGGAGAAAGAGTGCTGTTTTTTGTGCCTGGCTCCCTTCTCCTTGAAAGCAGGCCATGATAAACCTCTTTTCTTTTCGCGGGGGGGGGGCAGCTATCTCACTGAACCATTAACTCAACACATCGCCCAACCTAACGGTACCTCTTAACGAGGGATAATCTGGTTGGGACACTGAAGATTAGTGTCCGTTGTCAGGAAATGCAAAACCGCACAACACAGGCGGGTAACAGCAAGAATGTTCTTCCGTCTTCACCTCCTTTGTCGTGCATTGCCTTTGTGGCCTTCTATTAGAATGAGAGGGACTAGCTATGCTGCAGTGTTGAAGTTACGAAGCCTGAGATACAGTCCATCTCCTAATGTAAAAAAACAAAAAATAGGATTTGAAATAATGCAACGTCACTCATTCCAGTGACCATGTGGCACAGGGGTAAACTACGGAGACGCTTAAGGCACGGTTGAATCAGGGGTTACCATGGAAGGCACAGAAGACTCATTTGATTTCAAGACATGTAAAGGAGGATGCTTTCCAACCAAGCTGGTGTGTGTGTGTGTGTGTGTGTGTGTGGCAGTGGCAAGCAACATTTTCCCGCAGTACAGCTTGGCGTCTGCCGAACGGCGTGAGTGACGGACTGCCAAAATCCAGTCAGGCCCTGTTAGCCGCCGTTAACTGACCACGGGTTCTCCCAAGCCTCTCTGTCAAGTCTTTCTAAAAGCAGAAAAACATTTCTTGTTGAAGGTAGAGACGGCCTGAAAATCAAGACGGTCCTTTTAGCAACAACATCAGAACAAAACCACAACTTGTCTCGGACACACTGAGTCTTGCCCTGCTGCACAAAGAGAGAGGCTGGTCGTGGACACCCTCGGTGGCTCAGCAGGGGGTGGAGCATTGCTCTCCGGGCAGCTGTGGGTTCCTCTGCTCACGCATGGGACAGAAGTCTGTCCTAAAAAGGAGCTGGTTCCCTGGTGTTTTGCACCCCTGTGGTCCAGAATCGCCCCTTGGGAACATTCCGTGGCACCGCCTGGGCGCCAACCTCCCCCAGTTGGACAGGCAAGGATGGAGCCGGCTGCCCTCCCCCTGCCCCAACGTGCTCCTCTTGGTGCCTCTTCCTCCCTCCTCCGTGGGTTGGTGGGCTTTCCCGCCGTGGCTTCGTCAAGAGGAGGCGGGATGGTCCATCGTGGCGAGGAGGTGGGCCACCTGGGCTCTCTGGGCCTCCGTGAGGTGTTGGGTCATGTGAATGATGCAGTCCATCGCAACTTCTGGGTTGGCTTCAACCAAGCTGCAGGAGGCAGAAATGGGGAGGAAAAGGGGGCAGGGGGAAGGGAGGTGGAGAACACCCCGGGGGGCGGTTTGGGGGTTTCATTTCAGGAACTGCTTTCTGGATCAAGAAGCCAGAGTCACTTCTTCCAATGCACTGTTCCTTCAGGGAACAGCGATGTAACTTACAAGCCTCTACCATAAACCCTAAGGCTTGGGGACTGTGTGTTTTAAACAATTATAGTAAAAGGAGCGTTCAAGCTTCTTTTTTCCAATCACACTAGAAAAAGCTCCATTATTTCCAGTCGCTTCACATTTGCCCCTTAAATCTAGGAACAGCACCCTTCAGCATGGTGGCGGGCTTTTAAAAGCATTCCTTAAAACTCCCCCAGCCCTTTCCCACACTACGTAAGTAAATACCGTTCGCCCACAATAAGAAATGCTACCAACTGGTTTACTCCAGAGGTGAGCGGGACCTCTACCTCGGGAGGTCTGTTCGTTCTAAACAGAAACGGCAGTATAAATTCCTTTTCCGCTTCTGGACATTCCTGCAAGATTCCTGTCTAACTTGCCAGAAGAGACCAATGATTCCTGCCTGTAACAAGTGGAGGAAGGAACCCTTTGGAGAACCTCTGACCCCCCAATGCAGGAAAAAAAACCCAAAATATTCCTGGACGGGGAGCCAAAAGAAGCCACCTAGCTTCGGTCCCCCCCCCCCCCCGAGGACAGAACCCCACGCCTGCCGACGGAGGGAAAGCTCCGGTACTCACGTCCGGATGTGTTTGAGGGCGTAATCCCGCTTCAGGTACTTGATGTTCTCCCGGACGGCGGACTTCCCTCCGTCCTCCCCTCGCAGCTGCTTCTCGAGCCATTCCACCACGACCTGGTTATTATCCCAGAGGTAACCCTTAACGAGGAGGAAGACAAGAACCCTACTTTCAGGCTCGTTTAGAAGGGAGGCGGGAGCGGTTGGAGAGGGGCTTTCTCTCCAAAAGAGAGGGAGTCTCCGTCATCAAGGGCTAACCAGGCCCAATCCTGCCTGGCTTCTCAAGCCAGACCAGAGCGAGGCCCTTGGGGACAGCCAGGTGAGGCTCAGGGCAGGGAGGGAGGAAGGAGTGACACCCCAGCGCCTGTCCTTAGAAGAGAACTCGACCCCGCCCAAGCTTCCCAGAGCCAAGACCTTGACGGCGCCTTCCGTCTCCAGGAACCAGCGCCGCAGCATGGACTGGATGTGGCTGTTGCTCAGCTCGCTGTTGGCCTGGAGGATCTCCACCTTCACCTCCTCCTCCAGCAGGAGGCGCCGCAGCCGCCAGTAAAAGAAGGCCCGGGCGTTCTTCCACTGAAGGATGTCCTGAACAGAGACACAGAAGATAGGGGGGAAAAACATTTTTTTAGAGGAACATATACACATGAGTTTCGGTACTTTATGTTATCAGAGACAGGAAGGAATAAAGGCTTCTGAATGGATGCTTGCCTTGCGGTGGAGCTGAAAGACCTCACCAGAGAGGTCCATTTGTCCCACCTCCTCGGTCTTGTACAGGTCAAGGGGGGGCGCTTTACTTTTACACACAGGGACAGGCTCGGTTTCTTAGGGACTCTCCTACTTCAATGGGGGGGGCAGAGTAAAACAAAAAACATGCAGAGGTCTTCCTAGCATTGGCAGAGGAGCCTTAAGAGAAGAAATACTTCAACCTTGCAGAAGGGGGAGGGGAAAGAGAGAAAAAGGTACAGAAGCTGGGGAGAGATTAAATGTATAGAGGGTGTGTCATCAGGATAAGGACCGTGGCGGTTTGGAGGAAGCGGGACTCCAACTCTGGGAGGGCTGGATTTGGCCCAAGGGCTTAAGGTTTCCCACCCCCCTAGTCTAGGAATTGCTTCCCGTCACACAACCTGGGCATGGTCCATCCGCTTAACCCTAAACGGTCCACCGTTCTTGCACAGCTGTAAATTAAGCTCTTATTCCTGGGGCTACAAACCTTTTGATGCCAGGCTTCTGCCAAAAGATTCAAGTGGGCACGGAAGGTCTACTAATGCTTGCCTTTTGCTCTCCTAAGGACTCGGCAAGGGAGAGCAGATCCAGACCCAGGAGCGCCCAAGGGACCAGGGCACAAACGCGGTAACAGAAGACAGGTTTGCACCAGAGTCCCAACCCAACCGTTTAAGAATCACACCCCTCGGGCAGTCAAGGTATAAAGTGAAAAACGGCCACCACAGATTTAAAGAGGGTGGAAAACCATTGTGGGTTAGAAAAAGGTGGAGAAGGGAGGAAATCGGAAAGCAGCCGGTGGCTCCCTTAACTGAAATGACGCCTTTCTCGTGCATCCTCCCTGGGGTGTCATGGAGGTCGGCAAACTGCACCGCCACCTGGCGGAAGATCGGCAGGAGGTAATCCTCTCGCGCTTTGAGCTGCTTCTCCAGATCCTTGCGCTCTGCTCCCGAGAGCTCTGGGGAGCCTGCAAAGTCCCAGAAACCATAAATACTGCTCTTGCAGAGAGCTTGCTTTTTTTAAAATGACCCCCCCACACACACACATACTGTAAAGCTCACAGCAAGAAAAACTTTTCCCCACAAGCTTCTTCAGCTTTTCAAGGTGCCCTAATAAGCCTCCTGGCTGCAACCGTGCGAAGGCTGCAGGCTCTCTCTCTCTCTCTCTCTCTCCTCTTACCCAGCTGCTGAGCTATCCTGGCATAGGTGGAGTCCACCCTTCTCATGGTCTTGATCAGGTCTTTCCTCCTGAATTTGATCTCCACGGTGCCTTCGGCTTCTAAGATGCCCCCCCTAGAAAGCAAGGCCAGTTTGTTTTAAAAAGAAAGGGGGGGAAGGGGAAGCCTTTCCACAATGCAAGGGCTAGGTATGTTTCCATCCAAGCGCCTTGAAAGAGCTTTCGACTCGTTAGAGCGTCAAATGTTTTAATTTGCTTCAACTCCATTTTAATCTGCCAAAACCCAGCGGTGGCTCCCTGTGAGAGCAGACCGAGGGAATCAAGGAGCCTGGTGAACACAGAGAGCGGACTTCCCTGGAAAGGGCGACTCAGGTCGCGATTTCACTCTGTGTTTTAATTCCCGACTGCTTCTCCACCTTCTTGGGATTGCTTTGAGTCCTGGTTTCCGGAGAAAGCAGGACATTGATAAAAAGGAAAGGAAAGGAGAACCCACCGACTCTCTTCATCTGCATACAGCTCCAAGTACAGAGGGTTGATGGTGGGGTCAATCACCACCCATGACCCTCCTCGGAGTTCGGCATGCGGGGGAATGTAGACGAGAGCTGGCTGCTTGAATTGCCGGAGGCTGTCGACAATGTACGCCCCAAACTTCAGCACCTGATCGTACATGTCTGTAGAGAGAAGCCCGGGAGTCAATGCCAGCAGCAGAGATGGGGAAAAATTCCACTCTTGGCAAACGATCCCCAGACTCCCCCAGTTGGTGTGGCCAAGAGCGCCTCTCCTTCGATAGAGGGCTCCAACGAAGTCGCTGGAGGATTACAGACCGGCGTTACCTTTCATTCCACCCGAGAAGCCCCTCCAGTTGGCAAAAATCAAGAGTGGGAGGTGCTCCCGGTCAAAATCTCTGATCGCCTGGGCTGTTTTAAAAGCTGAATCGGGAAACCAGACCTGGCCGGCTTGCTGGATTATCTAGAGAGGAGCAAAGGGGAGGAGTTGTGTTCTGCAAAAGATCGGCTGGCGAATAAAAAACTAAAATAAGCAATCATTTTTGAACAGGCAGGGTAGGGACATGGAAATAAAGCAATACATTCTCTGTGCATCAGAAACCAAGCTGAAGAGAAAGAACACTTGTGGGGCTTTAGAGCAGAGGGTTAGAGCAAGGGGGAAAAATCAGGACATTTCTGCTGGATTTAGCAGCATGGAGCAAGAGTTCCCGACCTTTGCTTCTGATTCCGGATTTGCTGGGTCGGCAGGCACCGCCAATTCCACCGTCCGGGTTTCCACAGCTATCACGCCGACGGGGATTCCTCCCAGCCTGAAAAAGACCCAGCCAGGAAGAGATCAATGTCTCAAGCGGGGACAGAGACGCCTCTGAGTGCAAACATAAACAGAGGACGTCAGATCCGACTCTGCAGATTTTTCCACCTTGGATCGGCTTTAGCCTGAAAAGCCTGGTGGAAGGAAGGGTCCCCCGCTGCCCCACGCCAAGCCTCAACAGCCTCAGGTTAACTCTGCACGCTCTCGTCCGTACCTGGCTCGGCCAACCACCACCGTCTGTGCCCACGGCTGCATGATCTCCAAAAAAGAGCCGTGGTCGAAGAAGCCGCTTTGCCAAGATCCCTTCACGGCTGACCCAGGAAGCAAAACAAGAGACACAAGAGAAGGTTCAGAACACGTATTTCAGCCGAGCTGCGCGGACTCTTCTGAAAGGTGCTTCTTTTGCCCTACGGAGGGAACTGCCGCCAGGGAACACCTTGAAAACGGGGGTCCAAGGTCAGAAAGAGAACCAGGGACTGTCCTTTCCAGCCGCAGGGCTAGAGCAATCCCAAGAGTTAAGCTGTACAGCCAAACAGCCGGGAGAAGCAGTTTGGAAGAGCCTGTTTTTAGTTTAACAGCAGTCAAGCGCAACGTCTCAGTACAAACAAGCCTTCATCAGGCTTGTACACGGCTTGCTGAAACAAGCCAACTTCAAGCTATAGTTTATGAAGGTGGTTTGTTTTAACCAACTGCAGTTAACCTCAGTTCAGACGCAACACTAAACCGTGGTTGTTTGGGAAAAGGAGAAATAAACCTTCTCTCTCTTTCTTCCTCGCTGCCATGACAGAAATGGAAGTGCACAAGGCTTGGGGAGGAGAGGGGTGGTATGTGATCAGGAGGAAATTGACCGGTAAATCTTGCCTATGAACACAGTTCCTCCCCTGACCGTTCTTGGGGAGGGATGGTATGTGATCAGGAGGAAATTGACCGGAGGAACACAGTTCCTCCCCTGACCGTTCTTGGAATGCTGATACCCTTCCCTCCTTCTCACATCACCCAAAACCTTCTTAAGTTGGACAGGATTGGACTTACTGGGGTGAGGCCTCCCTGCCAGCATCCATCGTGGGTCATACAGGGCTTTGGAGGGAAAAAACTCAATCTCTCTCTCAATGGGGTCACTCGTGGCAATAATAGGCAATGGGCTGCGGTTGTCCTATAAGAAAGAAGACCTTTTAATCTGGATTTAAACCAAGAGAAAGCCCTGGAAGGTAAGACTGGCAGGCACTGTGCCCTCGCAGGTCGCTCTCTGAGGCAAGAACTGTCGCGAGAAACACAGAGTTAAGAGCAAGCGTGTGTCCAGATGGGGCATTTATTTTGCAACTCAAGGAATTTTTGTGGGGGGTTCTAGACCTCACCATCTTCTACTTCTGACCCTCCTTAGGTGTTTTTTTTTCCATTCTTCTGAATTCGTTCAGGAGGATAACGACAAATGAACAACACAGCCCATGAGACGGAAGACCAGGGGCAAAGAGCTAGAAGCCATGGCTGCCGTTCACACCCTTGACTTACTCTGGTGTCATTAACCAACCTCTTTCTGCCCGCTTTATGGTTTGCCGAGCCCTTCGCCAGTTTGACTCCATCTCGAAGCCATCGTGATCTCCGTCTTTACCCAGAGTTATATAACCCGGAGGAAGGCGTCCTAGAACGACGGGGTGAGACCCCGCTGTGTTTGCCGCACGGCCCTTTCCCGTCACCCTGGGCCTACCTTCGGCATGTAAGACAGCCACTGCAAGATGGTGTAGACGCCTTCAAAATCGTCTGGGGCCGTCACGTGGGAGACGCCGTTGTTGTGCATGATCTCCACCCCGCCCAGCTGGTTGTTCGAGGTGTACACCTCACGGCCCAAGACCTGGGTGAGCAAGACCAAGCTGGTGAGGGGACTCTGCCTTAAAAGGCTCAGTGAGTCCGGTTTACGACACCGTGGCCACCTTGGCCTTCCCTGACAAGCCCATTTTTGTTCTGGATGCCTGCAGGACTTCCCGTATGGTTCGTTCATTTCTTCATTCATTCATTTTGTTTATGTCCCTCCTTCTCTATCAATAAAGGGACCCGAAAGGACGGTGGCGAGAGAAGAGAACGTTACAACCTGGGAGGTGTAAAGGAAAAGGCCCTGCCGTTTCAGTGTGTGACGCTTCTACAGGTTTTACATCTTCTGAATCTGCAAGTCTGGTAGGTTGTGGGTGTTATTTTTAGACCACTGTACTGTATCTGGGATTGCTTTTAGGAATTTATTATGTTTTTAAACAAAAAAATAGAGTTGAAAGATTTCATGGCCAGCTTAATCCTTCCACTCTTCTATGGAAGCAGCCTTTTAACAGCAGCATTTCGGGCACCAAAATCGTTTCCGGGTGACTGAAGCTGCCATAAGTCCCAACAGAATCAGCGCAACTCCTTCCAAGAACGGCATCTTACCTCAGAAACGCTTTTTCCTCAAAAGGATGTATTTGATTTCACCCCTCAGGCTGAAAGAGGTTCCGCCGCCACCTCCACTTCTCCCCTAGCTGATCATCATACCACCGGAAGAACTTGAAAAAGCAGCAAAATGCCTCACTCTGTACCTTATTCAAAGCCCCAGCTCCAGTCAGGATGATGTGCGAGTTCTCCACCTGGATGACGCGCTGGCCGAGCCTCACCAGGTAGGCCCCAATCCCGATGGCACGGCAGGTCACCTACGGTGCACCAGTCACCACTTCTCCCCTAGCTGATCATTATACCACCGGAAGAACTTGAAAAAGCAGCGAAATGCCTCACTCTGTACCTTATTCAAAGCCCCAGCTCCAGTCAGGATGATGTGCGAGTTCTCCACCTGGATGACGCGCTGGCCGAGCCTCACCAGGTAGGCCCCAATCCCGATGGCACGGCAGGTCACCTACGGTGCACCAGTGAAGCGATCATTTAAAGAGAAATCAGAGGCAACACATTTGCTTCCTAGAGAGGCCAAGGATGCCCCCTTTGCTCGCTGGAGAAGGGGAGCCACACAGGATGGCTGCCACCTGCATGCTTAGCCCAGTGGGACCCCTGTAGATGCTGAAAACGTGGATGATGGCAAACACTATTATGATAGCAAATGCCATACATAGCATGGCCTCTGGCTAGTTCTGGTAAGTTCATCATTAAGACAGAGAAAGAGAGAGAGAGAGAGAGATCTAACATTTTTAAAAATTTCAGATTATAGTTAAATGAAACAGTGGATTCTGATCCCGCAGATAAGAGGCTCACATTTTTAACATTTTCAGACTATAGATAAATGAAACAGTGGATTCTGATCCCGCGGATAAGAGGCTCCTACTGAAGTTACAAACAGGAAGGATCAAAGCCGGTACCATGCTAATGGTGACGATTTCCTCGTAAGCGAGAGACGACTCCCCAGCGATGGTGCCCGAGGCCCGGAGGTTCTCCACACCGAAACCCTCATCTTTGCCAATAATATCGGTGATGATGTACCTGCGGGAGAGACCAAGAGGCAGCACCCAAGGATAGAGCCCAGTGCCCACCATGGGCTGAAAGGGCAGGAGGGCGGAGAGCGAAGGCTCACCTGGACTCGCCCCCTTCCTCGACGTGTTCGCAGTGCACAGAGTTCATGGAGCTGATCCGCGTGTAATCCTGGGGAGTTAGGTACAGGTACAGGAATCCCTGGGGGAATAAGCAGGGAACAGCATTCGCTGGAGAAAGCAGGAATTCTGTTTTCGGGACACGCCTAAAACGGTTCTCAAATATTCTGTTCAGGAAACGGAGCTCAAAGGAAGCGGGTGATGGAGTGGCTGAAACAGGCCTAGGAAGAACAACTGGAGAAATAAGAGTCAGCCAGTTGAGGTCACCGACCAAACCTAGGAAAGGCTTGGTTTTCGGACTGTAGCTTTCACATTACTGTTCCCAGTGTAGCCAGTGGCTGGGGATTGTTGTGGAAAATAGTAACAATTCCGACCTCAGATTCCGACACTGTGTAGCTACATCACATTTGCCTACCGAACAAGGTTCCTCAGGGACAGAAGCCAATTTAGAGTGAAGGCAGAAGAACCAAAGCCAATTGAGAGGGTAAAACAAAGCCTCTTCCGAGGAATGTTTTTTAATTTCCCTAGCTCTGCACCCAAAACCAGCTCTGAGAGGTTATGTAGGTTAGAGAGTATCCAGAATGTCTCTGCTAGCTTCCCAGATGCCTGAAAAAACCCTTCTTCTGGGGCAGTCAGCAAACCATGTACCTTATAGGGATCTGCAGGATCCACCCAGGCCACTTGGAACTTGTGCTTGATCTCCTCAGCAAACCCGATGCGGGCACCGCTGTTGGCAGCAATATAGATCCTGGGGATGCCCTCGGCACGGGCCAGCTCAGAGGCGCGCAAGAAGAGGAGGTCCTCCTCGGGCCCGAACGACCCGATCTTGTACGTGATGTCGTTGCTTATGACCACAATCTCACGGCCCTTTGGGTACTCGGGTGTTTTCAGCTTCATCTTGAAAGCCACCATTCCAATCTGGGAATGCAGTTTTAAGAACCAAATCGGGAGGGGGGGGAAAGCCACGTGAATGTATTAACAAGGAAGGATTAAGAAACCAGATCTACAGCCTGCGT